GTCAGTTGATGTTCCTGATTAAATGTTCTCGCTTTTCACAGATAATTCACTCGTAATGAAATGTGAGATATTAGATCACGCTCCATGAGTAATGAATTGGCTCTATGAGTAATGAATTACAAGCGTAAAAACGATTCAGATCGTTTTTATGTCACCGTAAAATGTTTGAAGGCGCAGTTATTCATTTAAATATATTTTCCACCATAAGACTTATGAGAATTAAAAAATATATGTGACTGCATTATATTAAAATAAGTTATATTAAAATCTCAATTTTGCAGCAGATATTTTTTTATTTGTCTATTAACAAACATTTTTAACTTACCTTTATAGTAGTTAAATTATTCTGCTCCATGCGTGCAAGAAAGAAAAAAGCACAATTAATTATATATTTTCCAAAATTGAGATAATGTATTTTTTGTTTTTGTAAGAACAAAAGAAGTAGTACAATGTAATACACATTGAAAAAAATCTCGTTTCATTAATTGAAATTTTGATCAAAAAGGAATAAATCAAACATTTAACAGTTAAATCTATTAAATATTCTAATCAAAATAATTAGAAAATTTAATTTAATGTAATTAAAATTTATTTTGTTTGTACTTTTTCTTGATACCATCAAAAACATTTTTCTTGGTGTAGAACTTTAAATTCGATAGCTGAAAATAATTGATGATTGTGTGAAATGTATGGAATAGAGGAAGGATAGAGAAGGGGGAGGGGGGAAGAGAGGGAAGCAAGGAGGGAGGAAAGAGGAGAGAGGGAGAGAGAAAGGAAGAGAGGGTGATCGGGGATGGGAGAGGGGAAAGGCGGGAAGGGAGAAGGGGGTTAAGAGGAAGCGGAGAGGGGGACGAAGGAAGGGATAGAGAGAGGGAGGATTCTTTAATCATCCATAGAAAGTCGCAAGCACGGATGTACTTGCTAATTAGTAAGAAACAAAATTGTGCCATGTAATCACCGCGTTGAACTTCTTATACAAGTCTATTGACAAGTGGCGTTGCAAAATAATCTGCAATTTATGCCCGGAATAACGAGCTTATGTTCGCTTGCCGATTCTACCCGGCTATATTTCGTCTGTAATCAAATCAATATATTGTCCGTTTGTTTGCTGCGTGTACGCGATTGAGTTAATTAGCCTGGCTTTGACACGCTCGTAATGGGATTGCCTACATCCCTCCGAGGGACAGACATATCCCCGTTACGGAATTCGCCCAAACGTGATTGTTTGTTATGTGACGACGCCTTTGCATGATATCGTCATTAAATCTCGACAGCGTCGACTATATGTTGTGACTGTGCTAACTCTCATAATTGTTTCAATGATGTCTTGGCTCTGTTTAATGTTTTGTTCATATTTTGCATATATGCGCATTGTGACATTGAATCTAATTATTAATTATTAGATACCTAATTGTGGAGTTAGGAGACAATTAAGAATTTTTCTTCTGAAGGACATTATCGATGTTGTTTATTGAGAAAATTTGTTAGTTATAAATTGATATACCTTTTATTTCATTTTCTTGACATTCATATATTTTTTATATATATAGCTGCGCGTGTGTTTATAATAGAACGCTTTCAAATTATTGAGGAAAGAAATAGTTCTTTATTGTAAATCTCTTATCATGAATAAGATGTCTGTTTGAAGACATGATCTTCTATAAATTGCACGATCTTATAATCAAAAGAATTCATTCCATAAAGATGAATTCTAATGATAAACGTTCTCTTGCTCAATAGCAAAGAACGAAATCAATCCGTTTTTATTTCTCACAGCTCATGTTTTCTTAAGTTATTGAATATATGATATATGTCTAGTCTACAAAGTGAAATTAAACTAGAAATATATAATAAATATATTATTATTAACGGCTTTATATATTTAGTGTGTTTTTTTATTAATAAATGTCGAATATAAAGAACTATAATTTCACTGACAGGTATCTAAATTTCGATTCAAGAAGCTTGCTTGCTTTTCTTCTTTATTATTCCACGACTTTTATATTTCTAATTTTAACGGCGCAAAGTCTGATGGCCGGCGCCTCGTAAAGCTGCGACACTGTACCTGATGAAACTGGCAAATTGAGAAAGTTTTTATTACTAGCGTTTCTGCGTGCCACGAATCGATAGCGCAGTCTTTGGTACCATTCGTTTTGCGACTTCCAATTGACGATTTTACAAGTTTTATTTTATAAGACTATATAAGAAAGTCAACCGAGTATTTCTTTGTGCCGGCATTTCGTTCTTCTCTTCTCTTCGAAGCGAGTATAGAAGATGTGCTATCTGTCGTCACGATGATATATCTTCCGAACTATTGGTGTCTCTGTATGTTACAGGCAAGCTACCGAATTCTGTCCGCCCATACCATGTGATAGAAAACAAAGTACGTGAAAGTATGTTTCCGATAAAAAAGATAGTTGTATTTTGTTAATTATTTTTTTATCATCAATAAATCAACAAAAGAGCAAGCTTCAAACAAATCGCAAAAAAATGAGTAATTGCATTTTTCCTGTTTAATTGATACATTAGTGCCTTGTATTATTACTAGAAGTCTTGGATTAATTATTCAGATTATACTTCAGTATTCTTGAAACATAATTTTTTTCTACATTAATGAATTACTTTTCTACATTAATGAATTAGTTTCTCAAAATTAAATTACGAAACCACAAAGGATTGAGCAATAGTAAAGATCAAAGATACAAGAGAGAGAAAGAAAAAAAAATATTTTGAATATGATGAAAAATAAGAGAATAATATCTTTTTTCTTATTCTTGCTATTATCAAAGCTTTTATATTATCAAAGCATAACTATATTAACAACTTAATAAAAAAAGAAAATTTGAAAGAAAAATTAAATCAATAGCATATCTTTTATACATTAATATATATATATATATATATATATATATACTACATGTATGGTGAGCGGAATTACTTTATTATATATATATATATTTTCTCTATATTATGAACAGGTCACGGATCAAACGCGTATTTTTCTAAAAGAAAATTTATATTAAAATTACAAAAAAAAGAAGATAGAAGACGACCAACGATTAGAGGTTTTTCTAGAATACTTGACTGCTACTTACTGCGCTATTAAATTCATAACGTCAAATTTTAACTTAAGAAAATATATTAAATTTGATTTAAATTTATTATTATTTATTAAGTGTACATAAATGTTATTTATTTAGAAACTAATTACAGAAATGAATTGATTTACATTTTGATACACATAGAAGTTAAAAATAATAAAATTATTTTTAATTCAAGGAATTGGATTATCACTATTCCTTTGACGTATAACAATTACAATTAATTATTTTACAATTTTATTACATTTTACGTTATGCTTCGTAAAATATTTTTTTAATGCCAATCATTTTAATTCAATTATTTAATTTTAATAGAAATTCATGGAAATAAACAAAATATTCAAATTTTGCAAGTTGTATTATAAATGATGATTTCATAAAATTCATTAATTAGATTGATTAACTCAATAAGATTTTATTATCTATGTTGCGCTGTATTTTTTTTTAGAAATTTCTAGAATTATAATTGCAAAGATTAAATATATCTTATTATAATTACATTTCTATAAAAAATTTGATTTTTCGATTTCAAGAATGCGGTTATCTTATGTAAAGAAAATAAAATAGAAGAATTTAACATATATTAAACATTAACAAAAATTAATAATTTGCTTGATATACATTAACTACAATATATAATTTTAAGTAATAATATCTTAAAATCGTGTGTAATGTGAAAAAATAAATTGCACGGAAATAGGCTAAAAAAGTATATTCCTATTTTTATCACGTTATGGCAACAGAGTAAATATTAGTGCGCTTGAATCACATCTCGACTTTCACGCGGAAAAGGAAGGTGACACGAGAAAACATCTTTCACGGAATAATGTCGCAACACACGCTACTGTAACGAACGATGCAGCAGATCCGTCACATATTTGTACGAGGTGTTGCAGCTACGTATACCGCAGAACATCGACAAAAAGTTGTTGGGAAGTTTACGCGAACGTGCAACCGTGTCCGGGCAAATTGGCCTTTTTAAGGGCCCAATGCGCTGGACCCAGCAGATGTTGCTTCCGTTGAAATAGCCGAACGTACGGATTCGCACTTCTCAACTTTTCTGTGGTTGATGCCGTGCCAGATGCGACGATATAATTCGCTTTTCGCGAATTGGCATTTCGTTACTTGCTTCTTTTATGGGGTGTGGCACTATATACAATTCAGGAATTCACTCTTAAGGGGGGATTCTAGAAAGAGGAGATTCTTTAAGTTAAATTTTATGACTTAAAAAAAGCTATTGAATGTAAAAGTTTAAGGTTTTTAATACATATTTATTAATATTTAAATTATGTATGAACATTTTTGAAAATTTTAACCTTAATTTTTTAAAAATTATAAACTATCATGAATGTGTGCACATTCTTAAAATTATAAATCATTACATATATCTCATTTTAAAGTAATGGTAGATATCATTTTTATTTATCCGAAACAAAGTGACAAAATTTTTAATAAGTAAATGGCCTTATTAGTGAGCTCGATCATAATAGTTAAATAGTATTTCGGTATGAATATACATTTGTATACATTTATATACATTTTTATAGATTAAAATGTTTAATCTACAGGGTATAATCTAGATAAATATTTCTATTGCCCGTATTAAAATAAAAAAGTTATATTAAGTACTAGCAAAATGATGGCACTAAAAAGTTCTAATTTTCTCAAAGTTCTAATTTTTTAAAAGGTTTTGCTTCTGTTCTCAGTAAAACAAATATAAATTGTTAAAATATGAGGCCTGTTCTTCATCGAAAAATTTTCTAAACTAGTAAGTTGAGGTGAAACCAATAAGTTGAGGTGAAACAAATGTAATTTTTTTACTTCAATACATTGTACTATATGCATTAGTTCAGAGAATTCATTGATAAAAAACAAACTTATACTGACTTGATTTTAGCACGAACGATAGCGATATTCATGTACAAGATTAACTAAGAATTTTATTTCGAATAAATAAAAATCTTCCAATCATATTTATCGTCATTTTATAAGTTAAGATCCGTATAATGATTTATAACTTTAAAAATATTAAACTCAAAGAATTTAGTATTTTTTATCTAAGATTAAACTCATAGAATTTTTCAGAAATTCAATATAATACTTAAAAATAAATATGTACTCAAAACCTTCAATTTATATTTAATAGTTTTCTTTTAGCAAAATCATGAAATTTAATCTTTCGATAAAATCGCTTTTTGGATCAAAAACCCTCCATAAAATCTTTAAATTTTGATTTTACTTCATTTAACTTGTGAAATCAGATTGCACTCATAGTATTATAAGAAAAATATAATTTAAACAATTCATATCTGTCATCACAATCCATATCTGTTAACCATTATTTATTAGTAAAAAAACCTTAAGCAACAACATACGCTCTCCAAGCTTAAGATATAAAATGTAAGAATATAAAAATATAAGAGCGTAAATTTAATAAAAAGAATAATTATCAATTACAATTAGCAGTGTTTTTCTTAATAATTTGTACTTATTCGTTTATAAAATAATATTATTCCAGAACAAAATTATGTTTCGCAGTTATATTATATATTTATCAATTTTTTGTTTACACACAAATGTGAAAAACGCTATGTAAAATTACTTTAACAAATATATTAGCATATTAAGGCGTGACAGGTTGTAGATATAAATAGAACAATGGTGAGAATAAGTGTGCTGACTCAAGTAATCTTGACAAATGAAAAAAAGCAAAGACTGCTATTTCATGAGACATCGTGATTAGTCATTCCCTAAATTATATGTAATTAATTAAGAAACATTGAGCAATCAACAAATTAGGCAAAAAAACAAGCAATTAATCTTTGAATCAATTTGTCTTTAAATCTATCATTACGTTTCATAAATATCAAATGCATATTATACAAAAAATAAGTTTTATACAAACATCATTTGGTAAAATTTAGATGATTAACATTGCAATGAGAGAGACAATAATGATGAATGATTATAAATCTTTTAACATAAGCATTAAGAAAAAATAAATATTTATAAACTTCCTAATATTGTTTACATTGCATAAATTTAACATGTTCTATGTGGACTCCGATGAATTATTATATTTCATACAGATTCTGACATGTAACTCTTCGTCTACAATCATGTTTTTACTCCCTTTATCCAGTCTAAATTCTTTTTTACTATTCTAAACTTTCAAAGTTCTCCTCTTTTTATTTCAAAGAAATTTGAGAATAAAACTAGTGTCAGTCAAAAGGTTATAGAGGGAGGGTTAATACTCAATCTTATACTATAATACCATACGGGATGTCGGCACATCGATTTAATCGATACATCTAATAAAATGTCGACTTAATAGAAATACTTGCAAACTTGCATACTTTCATGTACATCGTCTATATACATATATACCGATTAATTTGCCGCCGTTTTTATTACGCCGCTGTGTACAGAATGTGTTCAGCACAGAAGTAGGTAAACTGCACATGTAATTTCCTGCGCTACGAGTCACGAGATGTTCTCGCCTTCGTATGGATTGTATTTGAAATCGGCTTATGGAAGTAAAGGAAGTAGTACGCGAATCACATACTTGCAATGAAATGAAACTAACATGGAAATCATGTTTGTGCGCGGACTACTTCTATCTGACCTGACCTCTTCAAATTCGAGACGTGCATAAAAATGGAGATGCGCTTATCCTCACGGTTTGCGGGAACTGAGAGAGCGGTGATATGATATAAAATTGAAAAGCAACCTACTTCTTGTAGTTATTATATATATATTAACATTATGTTACGGATGTGAATTTGCGTAATATAATATTATGAGTACGGATGTAGTGTGTAATAATATATAACGTTTTAGCTTGGTGGTTCTTGTTAATATGTATAATAACACGGGGAACGCAATGTACTTACTTCTTGTTTGTTTAGCAACATTATCATTTTACAAACTTTAAATTCATATTTATTTCAATTCAAGTAATCAGTTTTAAAAAATGCTTGTCTTTATTATTTACATATAATATATATAGAATTAGTATTTAAATTGAAATTGTCTCAAAATTTGATATTGATGTTATTTTTTTAGATTATAATAATAGGTATTTAAATTTTTTATGCGAAATATATTGAAAATATACATATATGATCCTTGAAACAAAAAATAATGTAATAGTGAATACGTTTGTGCTGAATGTACGTATTTTATAAATTATAGATATAAAATAATATTAACCAGTAAATATTTTTATCCTTATTGAAAAACAAATCTCAGTTTGAAAGTAACAAAAGCTCCAAGTAGATACTTTCAAACTGAGATTTGTTTTTAGATAGAAAACTTTCGAAAGCTTTTAAAAATTTTACTGCTCTCAGGTTTGAATATCTTTTCTTCAAAGCACGAGGTATATGTAGATATATAGTGAATAATTAACTATATTTACATAGCACTCTTAATTGGCTAATCATAATTATCTTTCTGAAGACTGATAGTGTTTTGTTAGTTTCTTAATTACACATGTTATTAAATCCGATTAAGGATGTCGTGTAAACGTAATAATTATATTCATATAAGTGCCTATATTCTTAATAATTATATAATTTTATGTAAATATAGCAGATGTGGAGGTACATTTTCTGTAAATTTCTTGATTTTCTGTAAATTTCTTGAAATTTGACTGAATTTAATTTGTAGCATTTTGTAAATGTGCAATACATATACATATACAATTTCAGTAAAACTTAATTTAAAATCTAATCCGTTTAAAATTAAATGTGATTACTAATTGGGAAAGTTCATACTATTTTGCTAATACTGTGCTATTTTTAATTATTAATAATCAGAATACTGTGGTTAATTTGATATTTATACATATTGTGTATTCTTCAAAAATTATGTTAAATAAAGAACATGTCAGAAAAGTATTTTAAATACTTTGTATTTAAATACTTTGTATTTAAAATAAGATCTTTACAATCCATATATTCTACTCTCATTTTCTAGAATATTGAATCTTGAACCTTTCAACTGTAATCTCAGTTTCATTTAAATTACAATATTTTTTTAGCGCTATTTCAAAAATTTATACCGTTGTGACCGATCAACTGAAGATAATTACAAAGAGGATGCAAAAATTAAAAACGAGAACAGAACGGTGTTGATTGTAAAGAATCCTAATTTGAATGAAAAATATTCAAAATATTTTTTTATATGCTATTTTTTTAAATAATTTTTATTTCATAATTTATATACCGTATTGTGTACATTGTCCTGATTTTTAATTCATTCTTTGAAGAAATAATACGGATAAGAATTTAGAGATAAATCAATATTGTTTAATATCTGTTTAATCACAAAGATTTCGAACTTCTCGGGTCACATATAATATTAATGACTAGCGAGTTTGCCAAATGGAGAACAGAATCAAGAATTATGGAACCAATCATTCAATTTTTTGTCATATTTGCATTCTTATGAGAATCGGCATGTGTCACTGGGAATTCAATTTCCCCAAGGTGGTAGTCAAGTTTCAAATAGGGTAATACTCAATTATTACATTCGCTCCGTTATTCTCGGTCATGTCAAAGAGCGTGAACTGGCTCTCACTAAGTCTCGCAAGCGAAAGAACCAAGAAGAAGTAGATCGATGCGGCTGTCAAGCGGGCTTGCACGAAGAATGCGAAATTAGAGTGTTATTACGTGAGACGCGCGGCCGCTTTAAGGACGGGAACATATTTCGTCGTGAAACGATCTTTGCATTTGCATACATAACATCCTACGCTTACACTTTGCGAAGCCATATATCTTGTACCGTGTATTATTTATATTTATACTTGAGACGAACTTGGAGAGCAAAATATCGGCATCGGTAAAATAAACCACTTCAATATTACGCTATAATATAGCAGTGGCAATCCATTTCCGGTTACTATCGTTAACTTTCTGTGAGTTGCATCTTACCTTGTTACTGTTCTGTCCCATGTCAAGCTCACGATTATAGCGTTTCTCACCGTAGATCCAATCTTGAATTACCTTTTGAATTTCTGGCTTTTCTGGATCCACTAATCGAAAGGCAGTGATATTGGTCCCGCCATGCTTGAATTCTTCTAAGTCGACGGTATGCAAGTCCTGAAAAGAATTCCGATTGATCGTGACATGAATTCCTATTAGTCACACGTTTCTGTACTAGATTATAAAATTTCATATCAGCTACATTTTAGATACTATGGACTATAGTCTTTTTTCGTTACTACATTTTTTTAAGTGAGTATTCATATAATTTTTAATAATTACCTTAAATATAAATTAAGTAAAGAAGTATAGCATCAATATTATATCTTATGAACTCTCAGAATTAAAATAACAACCCTGACTGAGATAATATTTTTCTCAATAAGTTCTTTTCAGTGATTTAAAATGCTTATTTTAGCTTCTATCATTACTAAATTATTAAATTGATCTATTTAATTTATGACTATTTCCAACTTTAATTTAGAACTACGTTTTCAAGATCAGCTATGTTCGACGCGCAGTGCAAGCTGAAAAATGTATTTAAATATTCATAAAAAATATTATTATACTAAAATCTTGCCTTGACCGCATTTAGCGCATCTTTACTCAATTTGATTTATTTATACGAGCAATCTAGATTAATTTATTATTATTTACTTTATGTTTAGTTTTTAGAAATCGCTTGATATTATTCGATATTTGATATTATCCTACATATCTTATAAATATTATCTTATCTTACATCTAAATAAATATTAATACTAGAAAAATGCCTATTACGATCAAAGCTGGATCTTCATTGCTTTAAATAATTAAATATTATAGTCTTATAGTCGGAAAAACAATTCAGCACGAAGTTCTAAAAGAGTACAATATGATATATATGCAAGTATATATAGTGTATATTAGTAATTCAAGATTGAATTATTTAAAGCAATGAAGATTCAGCTTGGACCGTAATAAGCATTTTTCTAGTATTGATTGTGTTTCTCACACATGCGGTCTAAAATAAAAGATTCTTAATATTATAAATAAATTTATAGAAAATACAAATATGACAGAAATAATTTAATAACTTTACGAATTCAAATAAAATTTCTCTCTTGCTTAAAGAATATGCAAATAAACTCAAGACATTTTCTGAAAGAAGCTACGATGTCTTAAATCGAACTGGAAGATGGAAATTCTATTTTATGATTTACTGTGAATTAATCACGTAAGATAAATCCCAATCGGATTCACATGGTAAAGCCGGATGTGACGTTAGATTTTCTGGAGAATCTCCTCTCATGACAAAACATTTCACGACTTGACTTCACAATCAGATTACATAAGGTCTCTCGGATCATTCTGACAGAATCTGTCGTATCTAGTAAAACTGGACGATTTTTGTTTGTACTAGAGATTGATATTTTATTAATTGTTTAGTTTATCAGTTTTTATCACATGCGAAAATCTCACGTCCGATTTGTTAGAAGAAAAAAGCATCCATGTTGTTCTTCATTCTTTGTCACCCCTTACTCTCCGCGACTATTTTTAGCAATCAAAGAATTAAAAGGTCGACGTTTTATATTGGATGAGGAAGTCATAAAAGCGCAAGCGATTTGCGAACGCTTTTCAGTTAATGGATTTTGTATTGACAAGTAAAAGGAGTGAGATGAGACAATAAATGATTCCAATGCAGAAAATATATTTTGAAAAAGATTATATTATATAAAATATATATTTTTTGAAAGATTAAAGAGTGAATTGTTTAATTTAAATTCTCTGTTTTATATTATATTTTAATAGATTCTTATAATTTTACTTTATTAAAATTTCACGATTAAGTATATCTGCTTTTATTTATGTGATAAGTTAAAACATTGTATCGAAAAATTGTATTTATATTATTAAAATAAATACATATAATAGCACATATAATATAAATGTATTAGTATAAATATTTAATTCTAGATTTTTATTCGAAGTTAGCAAAATGAATTGAACGTTTAATATTTAACTTTAAAAAAAATTAACAAAGATATTATTAATCATAATATCTTTGTTAATTTTTTTACTAAAAAAGAAAATTGTTTTTTAAATTATTAAATACGCGGTAAAAAAAATAAAAAGAGATTATGCTTCTTTTAAACAACACGTATAATTTTCGATATATGATTTACAAATTAAACCTATTATGTAAGTAAAAGAAAGTAAAAATACATTGCATGTATTCTTTTTTGATTAGATAATTACATTAAAAATATATTTAAAAAAAAATTACGTTAAAATATTGAAACAAAACTGTCAGTAAAAGCAATTTCAATACATAATTGTCTTAACGAACTATAACTAATTGATTATTTATTGTTTGCATTTCTCTTTTTTTGGAATTATTCTGAAATATAAGATATGAAATGCATCGCCATTTATACTTGCCACGATTTGCATCTGAACAGGAAGGACGTTTGAATTTGTATTCTTCGCGATAGTATATTCAGAAGCTATTGACAGGAGTGAAGATAACTCAAGCATGGAGCATTTGCTTCAAAGCCGGTATCTGTATCGGTGACGCTTGTGGGCCGACGTGATTTAAAGTCACGTGCAGCTCGAAGGAGTATTCCGCCCATCTTTTCAAATACTCGCGGAGGATCGCGTCGCGGCCATTTATTATTCTTTGTCCCGCATCCGGAGCATGATGGATAAGTCCATGTCCCACGATCTGCTGTCTTCGCCAAGTAGATGGACACAGTTGACGACATCGTATATTCCGATATCTCACGAATCGATTAACCGCCGTTCAATGATCGATCGTTGTCTCGCCTCGAGACATCCAGTTTGCACTCTTTCAAAAAACGTTGCAACAACGGCGATATATCGTTTGCCACATAGAATAACGAGCAATAACAATGAGAATGTATCCACGGTTTACGAACTTCCCTTGTCCTTAATTCCGTTTTATTCTTTATTACTCCTTTGATAATCGTTGCACAACACGATTGCGAAATCTCTAGGGAGACAGCATGAAGATGAAGGCCATGAAGAGAATCATTTAGAAGCGCAAGTTCGAAGATTACGAAAATTATTATGGTACATTCAAAATTTGCTTATGTTTAGTGAAATGAGATGACAATATATTATATAAATTGACTTTTTCTCAATAAAAAAATAATGATATAATATTTAAATAATATATATAATAAATAT